AGCATTCTACCACTGAGCTATACCCACCCCTCCCCTAGACTACTATTTCAATACTAGCAAACACCAGAAACTCACTAGCTTTTAGCCTCTTTTCCTTCACACCCTCTGGTGGAGGTGCTAATAAGCAGTCACAAAGGCCAAACAGCAAGTAGCTGGAGAAAGTCTGTATATCAGTTCTTAGCAATTGTTGGTTTACCATCTAGACAAAATTGTTATTCCATCTTTATTTATCCTCCAACTCTTCCCAGCCAAGAGAATTTAACAACCTAAAGGTTTGACCTTTAGGTGCTTCTTTTTAAAAAAGGAATTAAAAGGTGGGGAACTCCATTAAGTTTGGTCCACACAAGAAACTTTTTCCAAACAAGGGCACAGTCTGCTGTACACAAAATTCATAGCAAGATCTTTTTCGGATTCCTCATTCAAGTAACAAGAACCAGAGTTTCTGATAACATTTATATAAAACTCTACTGAGATTTTTTCCACTTTACATTTCCTAACTCTCCAGAGCTTGGAAGAAAACTAATTTTAAAAAATTACAAACGGGGAAAAAGGCAAGTTCACAGTCAACAATATAGACCTCAGTAATTCCCTGGTAGAGAGTGCTATTCAAAAGCTAAAATTCTATGGAGCTTGCTTAAAATCTTGGAAAGATAAGGCTTTCAGAAATTAATTTTTATTAAACAACTATTTGCCACACTTATCCACTGAGGAAATGAGAATTTAAAAAGCTCTCTATCCTGAAATAATTCTTGGCATAAAGGGTTTAAATAAATAAAACCTTGCTGGGTGCAGTAGCACACATCTGTAATACCAGTACTCAAGAGGTTGAGAGAGGAGGGTCACTGTGAGTTAGAGGGCAGGCTGAGCTACCTACTGTACTGAAGGCCATTCCGAACTACATGAGGAAACCCGCTTTCTTTCATTTATTTATTCAATCATAAATAAATATATGTCCTTGATACACTATTTTTAAATTTTCCTTCCAAGACTACCTAATTTTTTCATAGTATGAATTGTGTCCTATTTTAGAAAAACTGGTTTTCACATATTCTACATTTTAGCTTTACCTTTATTTACCCTATCAAAAACAAAGAAAGCTTTTAATTCCTAAAACATTCTATTTTAGCCCTTTTGAAAGCCAAGGTTTCTAGTAAATGACACCTATATATTCATTTTCGTATGCATTTCATCCTACAACCTAAAAGAAAGGCACATAGCTAACACAGAAGAAACAAACCCCACAGCCCAGAACACCTCCAGGGAGTGATTATTCAGAATTTTAAAGCACCTTCTCACTTACACTCTTTCACCATTTTAAACAAATTTCTCCCATGACTGGGTAGATTAGTCTAGGTCTCAGGAAGAATGTTTCACACCAGTACACACTGACAGCTCACAATATGAGAGGAGCACAATGCAGTTTCTCAAATAAAATGTCTCCCCAACACCTGGCCTGCCTACTGTGTCAGTGCAAAGCCTTGGACCATCACTTTCCTAAAATATAACTTGGTTTTTTCGAAACCTATTTTAAGACTAGTTTTTGAGTCCTCATATTGCTTCTGAAGACGCATGTTTTAGATTACATTTTCTCTCCTAATAAACTGAGCACTCGCCTCTGGGCTCATTAAAAGTTGTGCAAAAACATTACTGCCAGAATGTAGTGATTCATAACACAAGCAGGACTCTCTGATCCATACTTCCCACTCCCCAGACTGTGAAGATGCACGATGTGGTTGGAAATGACATGAGTTAGAAAAGGCGAACAGTTCACTGTGCTACAGGTCACCAACGTTTACAGGCTGCTAAAAAAGATGGGAGGTGAAGACATACTTGTGTATTACTTGCAGATCAAAAGGAGATGGGTCTCAGGAAAAGACTAGAATACACATTTGGGAGGGCAAGGAGTAGCTATCATTACTCTAAAACCTTCACCATTCTTCCCCTGGACACACACTGAAGGGAATGAAGAGATCCTTTGAGGAAAGGTAAGTCAATAAAACTTTTTAAATTATATAGTGAAGTCTCTTGATTTTTGCCTTAATGGACTGACAAGAAAAACATAGCTACAATGGGTGTGGCAGAGCATGCCTGTAATCCTGTAATCCCAGCACTCTGGAGGCTGAGGCAGGAGGACTGCAAAGTTCAAGGCCGGCCTGGCTACATAACAAGTTAAAATCAGCTTGAGGTCAAGACTCTGTCTCCCTAAAATTTTCTTCTGTGATTACTCTTTGAAAAGTACAGGATAGCTTTAGTTTGACAAATTTTCGAACACCTTAAAAACTGTTTTTCTAACATAAGTATAACTAAACTTTATTCACAAATGAAGGTCAAATAAAGTACAATACTAAAATATCTTCTCAAAGAAGCATCAACCAGTGGCCTTGTGTTTACAGTTACATGGATCAAGTCATACGAAACAGAACAAATCTAAAAACCTTTTACTTTAAATTTTAAATCTGTAGTCAATTTAATAACATTCAGAGGATACAGAGGCTATGGCTACAATGTAGCACTATAAATTTGAAAGTGTACTGGCAGTTGAGAAAAAAATGGACTACACAGTACTATTTCCCTTCTCACCTTAATAAAAATTCAGATACAAGTAAGTTAAGGTTTACTCACTTTCTTTTTCGAGGTATTGGGGATCAAACTCAGGACCCTTGCTCTTGCCAAGCAGGCACTTAGGCTGCTGAGCTGTATCTCCCAGGCACTTTTTGGGCTTTGAGACAGAGTCTCCCCTATGGATTTCAGGCTGGCCTTGAGCTCACTTTGTAGCCCAGGCTGGTCTCAAACCTGTGAGGATCCTTCTGCCTCCGCTTCCGCCAGTGTTGGGTACAGGCACGCACCACCAAGCCCAGCTGGACTACTCACTTTTAGCTCCCAGAATTTTCCTGAACAGAACAGTAACTCATCTAACAATCAAAAGTGTTCTGCAGGTTTAACCACAGAAATAACATGTAGGCAAGAAGGAAAAGCAGACAAAAATTTAACATATCACTGGACTAAAGTGCAACCCTATAACACTGACGTTCTGAATACAGCTTTCAGTAAAGATAATAGGAACAAGTCTCAATGCCATACTTCAGTAGACGCATACAGGTGCAAAGACCACAATCCCCATGCTACCACAAGCTCTAACAACACTTAGCCATGGTCACTCTGCTAACTGTATATAGCCACAAATCATGAACACTTATTTCTTATGCACTTAAATGAAGCAGTTACCAAAGACAACCACGTTCACCAAAACAGATATTAACAATCTTTGTAACATGTAATGTTTCCCTCCAAGGAGTTTCCAGTGAAGCCAACCACCTGAAATTATGATTACTAAGGAATACTGTACACAAACTATGTTAAAAGGTCAAAGGAATTGTATACTTTTTTTGGATAAAACCTAGTGGAACATCAACTCCAGAATTCCATGAGTGAGAGTAGTTATCTTAAGACTTATAACTATTATATTCCCAAAGGTTGAGGATTTTTACCTTGCCTTATTTTTAGAACTACACATTATACTGCACATATCACATGACACGACGTAACTGTTAGCACAAAAAAGGGCCCAAACCAGTGAAAACATATACAGTAAGAAAGAGACCCACGCACACTCAAGAACCAACAGATTTCACATTTACTGCGAGCATTTTTAACTCAACAGTTTTTAATTGAAGGGGTGTCTAGTAACATACATAGAAACAAAAGAGAGGTACTCTGCATTTTATAATAAGAATTTATTTACCCTACCATGGGGAAAGCTGACATGAAGAAAAAGGTAACAGCAATACTGTACTCTTCTAAAGCTACAAGATTAAAGCCCCCCCAAAATGTGTGGATGAAAAATGCAACAGAAATATTAGTAAATTATACCCACATAGAAAATAATTACTCAAAAAAATAATAATAATTACTCAAAAGTATAAAGAGCCTTAACTGAAAACGCCTGTCGACAATTGAAATTTTCTAAACTGGTAAGATAGTATTTAAAGAAACTAGTACTGTACAGCCTATAGAAAAGGGGGAGGGGAAACACACCCACTTAAGCCTTTGTAAATAATAGTTTAACCCCCAAACAAGAAAACACAAGCTACAGACCATTCGGATAAATGGAAAACATACTCTAATGTGCTACTTTTCATACTTAAAAGTACTTTGACACTAAGTTCGGCAACGATTTATTAACTATATCATGATTATGCAAGGCAAAGATTATGTAATTTTATCGTTTATTTTTAAATGTTCTCCGGCTCCACAACTAAAAAAAATAAAACATTTTGATCTCTCCAAAGGGGAGGGAGAGGGTTTCTCTGAGCTTATAGCTTAAAATACACACATACACCCCAAAACAAACAAAAAACCATAATGATGGCTAGACACGTGACAAAGGAGACGGCAACACCAGGATTGTGAATGGAGGGAGAGAGGGAGGCGAGGCTGGAGGGCTAGAGCGCCTCGGAACTTTGGGGACCGCGGGCTTCCAGCCTCCCGACCCCCGAGGTGCCACACGCTGCCTCTACCAGTTGTACAGTTAACACCCTCAAGTACAGTTTTCTTAATAGGTCACTGAAAACGCTCCAATGACCTCCAGGAGAAAAAGCGAAAAACAGAGGTGGAGGAAAAAGCAATTTAAAGTGGCGCCATCGTGTCACCCCTTTCCCCTACGGCAATCAATAAGCAGTAGGTAACGCGTCTCTCTAAAATTCCACGCTGAGACTCCAGCATTGGAAAACAAAAGGATTTTTAAGTAAAACATAGGAATACGGTTGTTTATCGGAAAGGAAACAGTTACACGATCTGAAGCAAATCAAAAGACCGTCAGTCGGAAAGCAGGCCCCCCCAAAGGCAGTAAGATCCAACTCAGTTAAAAGCAAATACAGTAAATACCTCTTCCTCTTTAGTTTTTTTAAGTCCGCCTGAGGAAGACTACAGCTGAAAACGCAAGTGACCTCAATTTACAGGCAACAAAAATAATAAATAAAACAATCAGTTCTGATACAAACCGTGAAACACGCAAGACGTTCCAGCAAAGAAAGGCCTTTCGCAGTCGACAGAAGTTCAAAGCGAGAACCAGAGTTTGTTTTGCTTTTTAGGGGAATAGCCGAGCTCCCCGGGCCGCCTTTTCAAACGGAACGCCGAGGGCGAGCCCGGCGAGCGCCGCCGCGGCAGCTGGCGGGGAAGGGCCCCGCACACCCCCGCCCTCGGGGCGCCTCCCCGCGCGGGCCCGCAGCGGGGAAGCCCGGGGAGGCCATTTAAAGTTCCGGGGACCTCTCCTCCCTGCCCTGCCTTTCCACTTGCAACTAACAAAGAGAGGGAGAAACGGGAGCCTCGGAGAGCGCGAGGAGGAGAAAGGGCAGCGGGAGGCGGCGGCGAGGCGAGCAGCAGCAGCACCTACCACGTGATGGAGGAGCGCAGCCCGGGCGGATTCGGCCCCACAAAATGGGCGCAGTTTGCAAACAGCCCCGGCCGGGGCGCCGAGGCCGGCAGGCGGGGGCGCGCGGC